TTCTCCAAGCTCTAACAATGAATATTAAATCCAAACAATTGCATAACCAACTTGAACTGAATAGATAGCACAGTCCTTTCACAGAATTAAAACAAACTCACAATTCCCCCCAAAAATAAAAGTTTGACCCCACAAACATGCTATATTATGGTAAAGGTGTTATATATGGTTTTTAGTTGGTGTTTTCATTACATACACAGGGGCGTATAGGAATTTGGAAAGGAGGGTGCTAAGGCATTATCTATGGCTAAGGGGCATGAAAAGCGTGCCGTAATATTGCCCACACCCACTTATACGGCGGTAAAAAGGCCTTTTCCTTCATGCATTTTTGTCAATTACAGGTGGGGCCAAGATCATTTCAAGCATACTGCCATGTTACTGGTACTTCTGATTACTCCTTATAGTCCTTAAAGCACTTGAAACTGCTGAAATCATGATCAGGGGGCTAGATAACTTTGTTAAAAGGTTTGGTAGTGATGTAAGAGTCCAGGACTTTTGTAATTTTTTTCTGAGCCTAGCTATGAGGGGTTAGTCTCGCTTGGCCAGACTCTCCACCCCTTTTTGACTTTTGGCTGTCCAAAAGTCAAAAAGGGGTGGAAGGTCTGGCCATGCAAGACTAATGAGGAGGGTGCCCAACCAGCTGAAGCCGCACTGTGAGCCCCCCACCCCTAAACATGCCTCTGCATACAAGTCTATATATGTCAACAATACACTGACTAAAAATATACAGTTTGACCAAGTAAGTCGTGCTTCTAACAACCATAAATCAAAAACTACCGTATAGGGGTTATATTCATGTTATAAATTTTGCAAATTTGCGTTTTAATTAAATTTGCGAAAAGAGGTGTGGCACACTGGCTGCAGAATAGGCTCATTATGCTCCCTAATGCTTCAATTATTTGTTGCAGCATTGCTCATAAAATGTCATGATTATTCTTCAAGAATAGTACATTATGCTCTCAATTATGCTTGAAAATCAACCAAAAACATACATTACCATCAAAAATTAATTAATAGATGCATTAATACATGGTCTAAAGCTGCAAAAAAGTGAAAACTCAACAAAGTTTTTGTTGATCTGCAAGAGTATTTTAAAACTTCAAAAAGGTTGCAGCTAAAAAACAATTCAGACATCTCAGTGATCTCCCTAACCATTATATTTTGCCTTTTATGCTAGTAGTTTCCGGATATATCCCAATTATGCTGGCATAATTCTTGTATTCTTCTACCAAGTTATTATGCTCATTTTTATGCCAGAATAATCTGCACCTCCCTACTGCAGAAGGTAAGATTCGCAAAAATTTATACAAACAAATAGCAAATTTGAACAAATTCACGAAATTTTATACCAAAAAAAAATTAAAACCCCTATACAATATTGCAAATTTTGCCATGCCAGATCATGCTAGACCCATCCCAAGGCCAATTATTGCGATCACTAAGTTGCACTGTATTTATTTTATAACCATAGATACTGTCCAACACAGAGTTGTATAACCGACTTCTACCATGTACTACATTAAACAACTAGGTTTACTTAGCAACAGCATGCCTTTTTAAGCAGGAGGTTATTTTCCCAGGGCACTAGTCTCGCCCCACCCCTTCGCTACCTGCGGAGGAAGGGTCTGGAGACACTGCTAGTCTAAACTTGTGCTCATGCAGAGAAATCCACGTCCCAATCAGATTGCTTGAACCATGTGTAGGACAAGTAGTCATGTGACCGAAGAGCTCTGTTTAAGACAAAAGAAGAAGAATGAGGACCAAATAAAGGAAGGAAGGAGCTTGTAAAACTCCCTTGAATTCTTTCTCAAAGTTAAAGAGCAGCATTATTATGCTGCTTACTACAACGACGCCATCGCACTTATGACGTAATAATACTGTCACATGTTTATGTAATATCATAACATTATTATTCTTATTATTATGAGTATATACATGTATTATCACTTATGTAAAGTTATGTGTTCATAATTGTATTGCGCATGCTCAGAACAACATATACATTGTTGAATAGTTGTTTTCTTTTGCTATTGTGATTCTGGGAAAGTGAATTCTTTATTAATTCAAAGGAACAATATATTACACTGGCGACAAGGGTGGGATGGCTGAGAATACCCCATATGGGCGCCTAGAAGAATTTTCTCCAGAGATAGAGACGTTCGCTTCCTACAGTGAAAGAGTCGAGCTTTTCCTTCAAGCTCACGCTGTTCCTGACGACAGGCAGGTCGCTGTTGTCCTCAACGCAGTGGGAGTGAAGAATTACTCGCTACTGAGGGGCTTGGTTGCACCCGCAAAGCCCAGTGAAAAGACTGTCACAGAGCTGTTAGACTTGTTGAAGGGGCATTATGAGCCTGAACCAGTTATAATTGCTGAAAGGTACCATTTCTATACACGCAATCAAAAGGAGGAGGAGTCAGTTGCTCAATATGCTGCTGAATTGAGGCGCCTAGCTTCAACTTGTTCTTTTGGAGATCACCTGGATGATGCCCTTCGAGACAGGCTTGTTTGTGGGATTCTGTCAGCTGGGGCACGTAAGAAGCTTCTAGCTGAGAAGAAGTTAAAATTTCAAGGAGCAGTGGCAATTGCTACTAATTATGAAACAATAGAGAAAGATTCCCGATCAATTCAACAACAGCATGAGTCAGGAGATGCCCACAAAGTGGCATACAAGGGGAAAGATACTGGAGATAAACCATGCTACCGCTGTGGCAGACAAGGCCATGCCCCTAGCACTTGTAGGTTTCGCAATGCTCGTTGCAACAATTGTTCCAAATTAGGACATATTGCAGCAGTTTGTAGGAGTAATCAAGGGAAGAAATATAACAGGAGTCAAGGTAAAACACACAAAGTGGATGAACAAGCAGATGAAACCTCAGGAGAGTCAGAAGACGATTTAGGAGTGTTTCAAATCCAGTCAATCTCATCACATTCTCCACCCATAATGATTAGCTTGAAACTGAATGGTCAGACTATTGAAATGGAACTAGATACTGGTGCGTCTGTATCACTTATTTCAGAAGAGGTTAAGGATAAATATCTTCCTCATGTACCACTCCAACCCACTCATATTCGATTACAGACATATACGGCCCAAAGCATCAAAGTGTTGGGTAAATGTCAAGTCACAGTTAAGTATGGGGTGCAAGAGAAGAGCCTGGTTGTGATAGTAGTTGCTGGTAAACGACCTTGCCTGTTTGGAAGGAATTGGTTAAAGCATATTGTGTTGGATTGGAGTAGCATTTCCCACGTGTCTTTAGCAGAGAAACAGAAGGTTGATAAGGTATGCAGTAAATATGGGGCCGTATTTCGTGAAGAAACAGGAATTATGAAGAATTTTAAGGCTAAGCTCCAGCTAAAGAAGGATGCTATTCCTCGATTCCATCGGCCACGTCAAGTACCATTTGCACTGAAAGAGGCCGTTGGGCAGGAGTTAGATCGTTTGGAAGGCTGTGGAATTTTGGAAAAAGTGAAGACCAGTGAATGGGCAGCGCCTATTGTAGCAGTGCCTAAGAAGGATGGTAGGATACGTGTGTGTGGAGATTACAAGGTCACCATTAATCCTTTTTTAGATATTGATGTGTACCCTCTTCCAAATGTTGATGAGATGTTTGCAGTCATGGCTGGAGGTGAAAAGTTTACTAAGCTGGACCTCACTAATGCTTATCAGCAAATGGAGCTGGACAATTTGTCACGGGATCTAGTAACAATAAACACACATCAAGGGCTATACCGTTATACACGGTTGCCTTTTGGAGTGGCTTCAGCCCCTGCCGTTTTTCAGCGTACCATGGACACCATACTCCAAGGACTGGATAAGGTGGTCTGTTATATTGATGACATACTGCTGACAGGTGTGGATGACAATGATCATTTGAAGACACTGGAAGCAGTGCTCCAGCGACTGCAGCAACATGGAATTACACTAAAGAAAGGTAAATGCACCTTCTTGAGTAAATCTGTTGAATTTTTGGGCTATAGAATTGATGGACAAGGGTTGCATACCACCCCAGATAAGTTGTGTGCCATATTGAAAGCCCCTTATCCTACTAATGTGGGAGAGCTTAGATCATTCTTGGGTCTTTTAAATTATTATAACAGGTTTATTTCAAATTTGGCCTCAACACTTCACCCACTGCATAATTTACTTAAAAAGCATAACAAGTGGCTATGGACTGAAGCATGTAGTTATGCAGTTGATGAGGCAAGGCGTAAGCTGGTGTCCTCAGATTTATTGGTTCATTTTACCTCAAGTTTACCTATTAAGTTGGACACTGATGCCTCAGCTTATGGAGTGGGAGCTGTTCTCTCTCATATTTGTAAAGATGGCAAAGAGCGCCCAATTGCTTTTGCATCACGAACATTGAGTAAATCAGAGAGAAACTATTCCCAACTTGAGAAAGAAGCATTGGCTATAATTTTTGGAATTAAAAAATTTCATAAATATTTGTATGGGAAGCATTTTGTTTTGGTTACGGACCATAAACCCCTCACAACAATTTTGTCCCCTGGTAATGCTGTCCCCACCCTAGCTGCAGCTCGTCTGCAAAGATGGGCATTGTTATTATCAGCTTATTCCTATTCTATAGGCTACCGCTCTACTGAGCAGCATGGAAATGCTGATAGCTTATCACGACTGCCCCTCCCTCACTGTCCTAAGAGAGAGCTGGATGTTGACACGTTATTCAACATCATTCACATGTCATCATTGCCACTCACACACAGTAAGCTAAAAGCAGCTACTCTTACAGATCCTAAGTTAAGTAAAATTATGGGATTTATCAGGACAGGCTGGCCACAAACAGTGGATGAGGAGTTAGCAGCATATTGGAGGAGGAGGAATGAGCTATCAGTTGAAATTGGGTGTCTACTTTGGGGGCGAAGGGTAATTATACCTAGGAAACTGCAGAAACAAGTGTTACTGGAGTTACACACAGGTCATCCGGGAATTTGTCGAATGAAGTCACTGGCCCGAAGTCACCTGTGGTGGCCCAATCTTGATGCTGATATAGAGCAATTGGCAAGATCTTGTCGTCCATGCCTAGAAGTAAAATCAACAATGACTCCACCCCCTCTCCACCCTTGGATATGGCCACGCAAACCGTGGACTAGGGTGCACCTAGACTTTGCCGGGCCACTTTATGGGAAAATGTATTTACTGGCAGTGGACGCTTGTTCTAAATGGCCTGAGGTCTGGGAGATGTCTTCAACGACTGCTAAACGTACAGTTCAGATATTAAGTCATCTTTTTGGGTTATATGGATTGCCAGAACAGATTGTCACAGATAACGGGCCACAGTTTGTGTCAGAGGAGTTCTGTTCCTTTTTGAGAGAGAGAGGAGTTAAACATTTTCGTTCTGCCCCCTACCACCCTGCTACAAATGGAGCAGTGGAACGGTTCGTCAAAACTTTTAAGCAAGCTCTGAAGATTGGGAGGCAGGAAGGAAAGCTCTCTAGTCAGGAAGTAATTGACAGGTTCTTGCTTCAATACCGTTCCACTCCTCATGCAACCACACTCTCCACACCAGCTGAGCTATTTTTAGGTCGACTGTTACGGACACGCCTAGACCTGATGAAACCTGAAATATATCAAGAGGTTGAGAGACAACAAGCTCACCAGAAACATTATTTTGATAGACGTGGATGTGATAGAGTATTCACCCTGGGGCAAAATGTGTTAGTAAGAGAGTATTGTCGTGGTGGAGTTAAGTGGTCTTTTGGGCAGATTACTGGAATATGTGGACCATTGTCATACTGGATTAAATTGGAAGATGGTCGACAAGTCAGAAGGCATGTGGAACAACTGAAAAAGGGCAGTGCACGTGATAGGGTGGATAAGGATATTAACGATGATTGGATGTCTCATACAACAGAGCCTCAAATAGAGGAGAGTCCAGACCTAAGGGATGAGACTGGCTATCACGGTAATGAAGATCAAGGATCAGAAGGAATGGCTGAGGACCAACTGGAGAGACAGGAGGTAGACACACCCTCTGAGACTACAAGTCCAGTACCTCGTTATCCCCGTCGTAATCGTAGGGTTCCAGAACGACCGTTCATGGTGTCACTCTCATAAGGGGAAGGGTGTAATATCATAACATTATTATTCTTATTATTATGAGTATATACATGTATTATCACTTATGTAAAGTTATGTGTTCATAATTGTATTGCGCATGCTCAGAACAACATATACATTGTTGAATAGTTTTTCTTTGCTATTGTGATTCTGGAAAAGTGAATTCTTTATTAATTCAAAAGAACAATATATTACAGTTTACATTAAAACGTCATCAATAAAAAGTAACTATTATGGCGCTCTGTAAAGAGCTACTGCTCTCAAATCTGCAAGAGATGTCCAAGAGGCTTTATCCTTGTCTTTTTTCAGCTGCAAAGCATCTTTTTCAGCTGTTTTGACTGATCTGGTCTCCTCTGTCACATGATGTAGAGCCAACCACGTGGACTTCTTTGCACACATTTTTACCATGAGTGTCTCCAGACCCTTCCTCCGCAGGTAGCGAAGGGGCGGGGCGAGACTAGTCTCGCGTAGCAAGACCACACCCTCCGTGCCTACGGGTGGGTCTGGCACATTGACCATACTCCGCTCGTTCTGGTTCACCCAAAAATGGGTGAAGTGGATGCATGAAGTGAATGCTTGATTCTTTCTGGCAGGGAGCTCAAGAGCAG